AATAGTTAAATATCGATATATTAAAAATCTATGTCTCCACATTTCCCCGAGGTTGGGGGGGGGGGGTTACAATTTACAAGGGCATAAATGTGTTATTAAAAATATATAACTGTGAATATTAACATCAATGTTTCGCGTTAAGCATGTACGAATATTAAAATTAATGCGTCGCCTAACCTGAAACTATAATCTGTATCCATTTAAAAGCATAACAAACCAGAACAATGAACTAAGCACATCAAATGTTATAAATGTAGCCTGTACAAAACGCATCAGTCGGTTTGTTTACATACTGACTTGACTCGATTTTAATATTTTATACAAACTTGATTTACATATATTGCATATATCAATTGTAATAATTGATAGCAACCCATCAATGTATGATTAATGCAATCTATATATTCCAAACTGCAGTGTCTTTGTAGGAAAAAGTTTAGCACACCTGGGACGGGCTAGCTGGGATGCGCTTAGCTTCATAACATTTTTCACATTATCATTCAGTGGTTTTCCATGTCATTCCTGGAACACTCATTCTAAATCACTTTGTACAAATGCTCTACCTAATAATACATGTTGCAGTAATGCAGGACAAGTACCAAGTCTTCATTAATTTATTAAACTTCAATTTTTGGTTGTTTGGGGCCAAAATTTTAATCAAACATAAGGCGACGTAGTGCAACTTACTGTGACTTAAAGGCGACTTTGGGCGATTTAAGGCGACTTAAGGCAACTTTTGGACCCGGAATAGGCCTTCGCCAGGCTATATTTACGGCACTCTTATGTACTAAACCAACACTATAAATTGTATTGTTTAGGAAGGTTTTCAGCGAGCTTGAAAATAGCTCGAAAATATACTTTTACCATATTGTGGGCAGCACTAGTTACCCTTTAAGGCATAATGTGCCCTGATGCACTCTATTTTACTTGTCAAGGGGAGAGAGCTGCCACTCGATGGCCTGAAAGACCTTGGACATCCAGAAGAAGGGTGATTAAAAACAGAATGTTAAATGAAATGCCTTATGTGGCAATATACCCAGATGCGCCCTACTTTATTATTTTACTCTGTCAAACGCCAGACGATTTTACTAGTCAGAACAGAATTAAATACTAAATTTAATCAATTCTATATATTGGATTAACAATTTTCTGATTCAGATAGATAACATATTATGACCAGGGTTGGGCGGTAATAAAAGAATCATCTCACGATTATTGTCAAGGGAATTATCACGATATTCGATAATATCGCGATAAATGCAATAAAAACAATGACCATATTTTTCAATTTTAATTAATATCAAAGCATAGTAAGCTTATATATAATCTTTTTACTATTAAAAACAAGTAAAAACAACAAGTTAAAGTAATATGAAGACTTTTTCTAGTCTAATATTTACTGTTCAAAAACCAGAACTGTATACGCATATGCATTATCTACTATGTCTCCGCTGGCATGCACAAATGCTGTGGGCACACAGCCCAAGCAAACCCTGCAATTTCATTGTTCAGTGGATTAATACATAAATATTAGCTTTTGTGTCGTATTAAATTCGTATTTATTACGGATGTCACCGAAGTGTGCGAGCCACTAAAATTTCGCACGACCGCCACGCCCACAAAGCGTTAGCGACCCGCCCACAAAGGCATCGCGTTTTGTCTCAAAACTTTGCTGTGTTTTTCTCCGTGTATTCGAGCGTGTATTTGTTTATACTGAAAATGATGTCCATGAAAGGAAGAAGGTACGAATTTAAAGTCGAATATGACTCATATGGTCATGGCATAAGAAATATTCTAAATTTTTCTTACGCGAGGAAGAGATAAAGCGATTTAGTTCGGAATTATTAGTGAAATACGCACGCAGGCTACTTCATCTCAGAGCAGTGAAATCAGCTCAAAGTCTAAAGAGATTTTACTCGCCGTCTCCTAATGGTAAGCAAAACACTCCACAAAAACGATTTAGAAGTAAACGTATAATTTAATATCATGACAATATGAGGCCGATTCGCACGACGTAAACAAACAATTAGTCTTGTTATGGCCAGGGTTATGGCAATATGAACATAGTGGCAACTTAATGAAATCTTCAGGTTCTCGGAAACTCTCTTCATGTTCCAACAAATCTTGCTCTTTCTCCTCAATTGTTACTCGCAGCTTTTGTTCGTCCGTTTCAACTTTATCAAAATATTTCTGTGTCGGTGAAATGTATTGTTCTATATTGAGGTATTCAAACCCAACTGGTTCGTCTTCGACAACACTGGTTTGGTTATCATCGCACAAATTGATTAAAGCAGGTTTATAACTCTAACTTATGATTGTCATTTAAATTACGTTTACTTCTAAATCGTTTTTGTGAAGTGTTTTGCTTACTATTAGGAGACGGCGAGTAAAAATCTCTTTGACTTTGAGCTGATTTCACTGCTCAGAGATGAAGTTGCCTGCGTGCGTATTTCACTAATAATTCCGAACTAAATCGCTTTATCTCATCCTCGCGTAAGAAAAATTTAGAATAATTCTTATGATGACCATATGAGTCATATTCGACCTTAAATTCGTACCTTTTTCCTTTCATCATTTTCAGTATAAACAAATACACGCTCGAATACACGGAGAAAAACACAGCAATGTTATGTATGCCTTTGTGGGCGGGTCGCTAACGCTTTGTGGGCGTGGCGGTCGTGCAAAATTTTAGTGGCTCGCACACTTCGGTGACATCCGTAGTAATTCAGGAAATAGTTTTAATCCTTTTAAAAACTATATTTTCTAGGAATTGAAAGAAATTTTTAAAATTTTATGTACACATGCGAAGCGATATCACGACAGTCTTCGACCATGACGATAATTTCGAGATATCGTCGTCCAAGTTTCTACCTTCGATACGATAATCGCGATTAAAAATATCGCGATAAATCAAAATATCGAAATATCGCCCAACACTAATTATGACTTCCTTAAGTTTAAATTAACACTCCCAAATAATTTTCCGTTTTGACTTTGAAGCTCGATGTAGTCATATTATTCATATTCACATATAGTTTTATACTATGTGGTTTCAAACATGCTTAGGGGTTTTGCCGAACAAGTGCAAAACCCAGTATTTACTATAATGAGTTTATTCAAAATTTGAATTGTTGATTTTAACCAGTAATATTTGACGGCATTGAAATGAAATAACTTCAGTATAAAAACGTAGGAATTCTCGCGGGCGCAAATTCAAAATATTTTAGCAGCAACAACAACCACAAGTGGACGTTGTAATTATATGATATAAAAAGCTATATTTCATACCTGAGATCAAACAAGCCTTTTGCAGGATTCGGAGTCACTTATCCAATAAAAAAGGTGACGAAAACCTGTCGAAAGCAGGTTTTTCTTCGTCGAAATATACTCGAAGGAACTCCCACAAAAAAGTAAAAAATTTGCAAATCACACTGGACATTAGTCATGCAACGGACATTCGATACACGCAGGGATGCCGGAACTGGAGGGGGGGGGGAGGGGCAGGAGGGACAGCCGCCCCCTTTGCCCTTTCCCAAGGAGGGACAAGGGAGGTAACGGTGCCCTTTCAATTTAAAGGATTGCCTTGGCGAAATAGCGAATTCTCAGAAATGTTAGTGCAATTCTTTTACGAATTTGCTTCAGAAAACGCAAGAAATACAGTCATCGAGCTTCAAGAATAGCACAATCTCCTGGTGGAGAACCCCCTCACACCCCTATCATCCAATAAATAGAAAACATGATTAGGCGAAGTTCAACTCCCGAAGTTTTGCAAACATCTCTTAGTATATATCAATTCAAAAGTGCCCCTCTCACGAAAATCTGCCCCCCTTGCCCTCACATCGTTCCGACGTCCCTGGATACACGACATACCACAATTCACTGCGCGCGTGGCGCTTCTAAAGTAGATACACCAAAAAGCGCTTCCATCCATCGCTAGCTTGAATCATAAATGAATCTTGAAGCATAAATCTGGCCAAATAATGACCATAAAAATTGGTGAAAATTCTTATAAGCAAATAATGAAGATAGATTCTCTAAAAAATTATATGTCAATTGCCATAATAATTATAACATAAAAATTTTATGGTTTAATTAACGTATCCCATGTCATAACATGTGATGGCATGTCATGTCATCGCAAATCTCGGAGATGCATCCATTTCATGGACAAGAACTTCTACAAGACGTCCCTTAAATCTGGCTCCATATCCAAAACTAGTCCCTGTGTTACTATACTCCTGAAGAAAAGTTATAGCTATATGAATTTTAGTCATTTAGAATAACATCCCAATTTGGCCCTGTACTTGGCCAAAACAGCGCTAAGTATATGAGGGCCAAAATAGCACCTAACTATGGGGACCGAAACAGCACTAAATATGGGCACAAAACAGCAGCTAAATATGGGGACTAAAACAGCACTAAATATGGCGCCAAAACAGCACTTGAATATGGGGACCAAAACAGCACTAACTGGAGGGCACTCAGAGACTGCCGCATACCTCCGCCCACTACTCTGAAGTGAAAAGCAACCTTGGAAATTCCTATAGGCCCCCGTGAATTGAAAAACTTATTAAATGTCATTAAACACTTTTAACACATACACACACACACACACACGCACGCACGCACGCACGCACGCACATACAAACCCAGATGATTATCATAACCTGGCGGAGGTAATATGGGGAGAAAACAGCACTAAATATGGACTCAAAACAGCAGCTAAATATGGGACCAAAACAGCACTAAATATGGGGCCAAAACAGCACTTAAATATGGGGGCCAAAACAGCACTAAATATGGGCTCAAAACGGCAGCTAAATATGGGGACCAAAACAGCACTAAAAATATGGGGCTAAAACACCACCTAAATATGGGGACCAAACAGCACTAAATATGGGACCAAAACAGCACTAAATATGGAGCAAAACAGCACTAAATATGGGACCAAAACAGCACCTAATATGGGGCCAATACAGCACTAAATGTAAGCACAGTATATAAATACAAGCCGAAAACGCACTGACTATACATTGCCATTGGTCATCACCAAACCGACGTTTCACTGGATAAGTGTTGAAGTATTATATTTAAACCGTTCCATTTGTATTATAGGTAAGCTGAACGTTTATATTGTACATTTACAGTATGTATAGGAATGTGATACTTGATTTCACAGTATAGTTTCACCTAGAATTGCTTTCTTTTAATGTCTATCCTTATTTAGTAGTTTAATCTCGACCTGGTAGTGATATTATTCTAGCTTTAAACAAGTTCACGACGACGTTTAAGACGGCCCTGCAGCCTGCAGCGCAGATCGAGGCCGTCTGTGAATTTTAAACTAGAATTTTATTAAATGTTCAAGTACTGGAAATAAATTATACGAAACATGCACTACAACTATACCGCATAACTTGATACCAGCAAAAGCGGTGTTGCATGATTATTCATGAAGGGCAAGCGATTTATTTCAAAACTGTTACAATTAATATTTAGGTTACGATCGACAAAAGATACTGTAAAACATAAAAGCTTGCTTTTGGTAGATTAGAAGTACTGTCCTCCTCTGTAACGTGTATAAATGGCGGTAGTTCCAGAGGGCAATGCATTTTGTTTCCGGAGCGAATATTCTACACAGACGTTGAAACTAGTAGCGAAAATTAATTGTGTTGTGTTGTGTTGTGTTGTGTTGTGTTGTGTTTAAATTGTGTTGTGTTGTGTTGCGTTGTGATGACAATTATGTACCCATGTCCCATGTGTATGTTTATTAAACTTTACTCTTTTTCATGTTAGCCTGCGATGAATTCTGTATAAAGAGAGCAGATGTACAGAGAATCATCCTTTTTGAGCATTTCAAGTATAGTTATGAATTTTTATCAGTTCTTACATTTTGTTTCAGCCATGCTGTCAGTTTTCTTTGCTGTTTTTGTCACCACTGTTGCTGCTTTTCCACAGCAGATTGTTCAGCGTGGCGTCCCTCCACACGTTTCCGGAGGCCTTCCTGTTGCAGGCGAAGTGTGGGGACCAGTCATCACTCATGCCGGAAAGATGCGGAATACTAAACGTGGTCTCGCCCATAAATACGCGTATTCGACACCAAGGAAAGAAGATGTGCTTGTTGATTATATTCTACCGAGTGAAATTTTTCAAAACGAGGATGAAATGTATGCGCACGTACAATCTGTCGTGAAAGACGAAGATGTTGTTATCCAGTCTAATCCGGCAGTCTTGGAGGGCAAGTACCTGGAGATACTGACCACAAAGACTCTGCCATCCGATAAAGTCAAGATAACTTGTCACAGTTACAAAACCAAACCAGCGTTCTGCCACAGAATAAACGATGACCATAAAGGCACCCAGCACAAGGCCAAAATGATGTACAGTATGGTTAAAGAAACAAGCAGTGGCAAAACCTTCCCATGCGTCTTCTTCAGTCATCAAGGCTGCACTGAAAAGAATAATGAGGATTCATGTTATTGGGTTACACATATCAATGAAGTTGTCATCATCCACAAATATTTTATTTGAACCAATACATCACACTTGACTTTCATATGTAGAAAACGTTCTTTCTCTTGAACAGTTATTAGTTTCTAAAGAGTAGAGCTCTAAACGTTTTTCATTAACATTACTTCATTATCATGCAGTTATAACGCATGTATTGTTGGAAATCTGGCTTTTCAATAATACAATTATAATTCCAAAAAGCGTTTTTGCTTTAGTCGTTTAATTTAAGCAATATACAGGGTGTCACAAAATACCCCTAAACTATTGAAATAACGTATTGTTAGAACTTGAATGCCCTAGCACTATGCTGAACTCAAAGATGCGTAAAATATTGACAAGGTGCATATATAAATTATAAATATTGACTTGTTAAGAAATTAAAATATCTTTGTAAGACGCACTCTGTTCTGACTTGCCACTTGGGAATTTAAAGCAGCTTCTTAAACAGTTTCTTTATGCATAAAATTTACTTATGTGAAGCAGTTTTATGTACTTCTGGTTTTGGGTTCAGCAGAGTGCTGAGGCATTCAAATTCTAACAATACGTTATTTCAATAGTTTTGGGTTTTTTTGGGACACCCTGTAGTTCTGTCCTGCAATATTAGACCTAAACTAAATTCATTCGAATTCTTTCTTAGACATAATCGAATTATTTTGCATTTGTCATAATTTATAAGTACATACAGCTGTGATACAGCAATAAGCACGAAGCTAAAATGAACGTGTTTTGCATTGGGTATTGTAAGCAAAGAGCAATAGGTTGGTGAGGGTTTGTGACTTGTTCTCTAGAAAATCTATTCTCTTGCTTATTGGAGTTTCATTAATAATTCATCATTTACAAACTGAACCCATTCCTATGGCTTCGTGTTGAAGCAGACCTACTAAATAAGAGAAAACTAAATACCATGCATTAATAAGTATATCAACACCACTCATTAACCATTTAATATCTAATTCAATGATGTACAAAACTACATTTGCATAACTGCGCGTCATTTCTTTCAACTTCAAAAAGCAGTGAAGTAGCATCAACAGAAAATGTCGAGGTTGATTCAAAATCAGTTTTGTTGAATTATCTTTCTATATTGCTGCCGAGCCTTAGCGAGGCAGCACACTATTCTCGACGGTACCAGTCTCCGTGCGCCGAGTTTAGTAGACCAGCTTGAATCTCGATTTTTTGTGCTTGTATGTCAGCAATTCAGGGGGGGGGAGGGGGTTGCGGTAATTAATTACGCTTGCCGGGCGCACAGGAAGCAGTGACAGAACGATGCACATGTGTTTCTTTCATATACTTCAAATACACAAACCTGACGCTGAACCACTCTACAAATTATGGCAATTGTTATCCGAGGGAACATTAATCAAGGCGATGACTGTTTTGATGTTAAGTCTAGAGGTAAGCGGTGTGCCTTGTTTGCCTTTAATTATTGAAGGCCGCCATTGGAGGTACGGCGGCGAAAATACACTTCTTCCAAAAACTCGGATTTTTGCCTTTCTAGCTATGCTAGAACATAGATAAAAAACTTAAAAACATCTACGATACTTTGACTGTTGCACAAGTCATGTTTGGAAGGCGGCACGGAAAATATTTTGTTATTTTCTTGAATACAAAAATGCTACCTTTCGAGAAAAACCTAATTTTTCGGCATATTTTTGCTGAAAAAACAAAATTACGAGGAAATTTAACTATCCCTAGTTTTTTTTTGAAAGTCACAGCCTGCCTCCTCCGCAGGCCCTCGTTGTGTCATGAAAAGGTCACGATTTCGAGCGAGAGGGCCTGCGGAATTGTGTAAAATGAATAAATTTTGTTTTGAACCTGCTTCTATAAAGAGGCAGTTTTATTCGTGCAACGTTGGTGTGGACAACAAACCTTATCGTTAAAAAATGCTTCCTTCCACGTCCTAAGAGTCGCCAGTTTAATTTACAAGTTTCACGCCGCTTTTTTATATCCTGTTTTAATATATTCAATATATTCAACAGCTTGAACAGGTTGATATGAAAATATCAACCTCTTCAAGCGGTTGATATGTACATATCAACCTCTTGAACAGGTTGATATTTTCATATCAACCGCATAGTTAGGGCAATTATTTCAGCCCCCTCTCCCCTGAAATATTAAAATTCCGCCCCCTGCTTTCAAACAGTAGTCCGGAAGGTGTATTCGCTTGAAATCAACCTGCTGAGAGCAATAGAAACTGAGCCAATGATGATATACTAAAATACAAGTTTAAAAATTTTTTGAAGTTTATATATATGTAACGAAAACCATATTAGTGTCATGGCAATAGTTTTATGCAACAGTAGTCCCTATTTAATGTGCAGAATAGAAAAAAGTATCTGTTCTAACTCTCAAATAGTTTATTAGACATTTATTGGTTAGGGTTAGGATTAGGGTCAGAGAAGGGTTTGGGTCTGTTTATCTTAAATATTCCTACTATACTGCAGTACGAATAGCAAATCTAACTCGGCGTACCGCAATCTCGTTCCCCGAGCCTGCGATCCTCGGGAAGGAACGCGAGGCTCTGGGATAATCCGTTTCAGGGAGGAATCTGATTGGCCATTGAAATGGAATGCGTAGTTCAATCTTAGCCAGGATTCTTGGCTTCCGGTAACGGATTATCCCAGAGCCTTCGATTCCTTCCCGAGGATCGCAGGCTCGGGGAACGAGATTGGGCGTACCGTTCCAGTACGAATAGCCACAGCGATATCATCCTCGGTCCCAGGGCCTCACGGCTGGAGGCAAACTATATATACTGTATATACTGTATATACTGTATAACTATATATAACTATATATAACTATATATAACTATATATAACTATATATAACTATATATAACTATACTATGTATAACTATATATAACTATATATAACTATATATAACTATACTATGTATAACTATGTATAACTATGTATAACTGTATATACTGTATAACTATATATACTGTATCTTCCATATGATATACCATCCGCTAACATACTTCACAAGCATGGTCAACCCAAGACTCTGTGAGGTTTGCTATAGCCCCAATCAACAGTCACGTCATTGTTCAATGTTTCATTAAAAATCACAACATGCATCTCTGGCAATATCATCCATTTATCTCCTTAATGTAATTTTGTTGAACCAATGAACTAAATTTGTCCAAGGCCATTCCGCATGCCATTCGACCCATGTTCGCCTTTCTCTACAGTCATTTTTAATGATACTGACCCAATATAATACCTATTCATATCACGTTGAAACGCGATGCTGGCTCGGACTGCTTCGAACTGCTTTGGACAATCAATCCCTATTATATATATTACTTAAAAGTATTAATCCATATAGTATATAGTACTATATACTACGTAATGACTGCCATACTGTGCAGTCAAAAAATTTTTTGCCAGACCCTGGGCGCCACGCCGCCACGTTTTTTGTATTTTGTAAAACATCTGGGATGATTAGTCCAAGGCATCTAATTTAAATAAGGTTTACCCTTGTGGCATAATTAAATGTTCTGTCCGATTCTATACTAAACCGCATTTTTGTAGATTGTACAACATCTACTTATTCTACCTATCAATAGTTAAATACATGACACAAACCATAGGGCTCATGACATATTTCACGGCATGGTTTGCTTTCAAGACCCTGTGAGTATGTACATAATCCAACTGCATCTATACTTAAATACTAAGGAATAAACTTAACCACATCTGATGGACAGATTACGGAATACACAGTGAACAACAAGGACTAAGTTTACAATATCTCACTGCATGGTCTACTTTCCAGACCCTGTGAAGATATATTTAAGAAAACCATTTACTCAAATGAGATACAGGAAAATTACACAACACAAAATCACAAGTCCTGTTACCAATTCCTAATTTGCAACATCGCAGTATGGTCAAATCCGACCCTGTGATAAATTCATGTGCATCATCAAATTACACCTATCAATTACCAAGTAATAACTTTACATACAGTACAATATTTATTTGTACATGCTAACTTCAATTACGATATTTTTACAATGGAATGACATAAAAAGACACAAAACAACGCACGCATACTTGAACTGCTACGTTAAAGCATGAAATTTATACGCATGAAATTTATACGTCGTTAAAGCATGAAATTTATACGCATGAAATTTATACGTCGTTAAAGCATGAAATTTATACGCCAAACGTCAACTTCAAACGCCAAATCTTAATTTACTGCTTTGGTGAATGGCATGACTAGTGGTTAATTTGCTTTCTTAAATCATTGATAAAGAGCACAAGTTTAATAAGTTTAACATATTTCAAAACTGGTGTGAAAGCTATAATAATAGAGTTGTAAAATCAAAAACTTCGCTAGCGGTTTGACGTTTGCCGTAAACGTCAATCTTAAGGTCTCTAATCTATAACTCTCTAATATTTCACGGCATGGTCTACTTTCAAGACCCCGTTGAAAATAAAAGAAATCCATTAGATAAATAATGATTATAGGTACACCACAGGTCCAAGACGCATGTCGAGGTCCTATTACCTATCCCAAAATTAAAATATTGCGAATTGGACATGAAAATTAGTTTCCCTGAATAAAATTCACTTGCCATCAGACATTGGCCACTGGGGTGCCCACACAGTTGGAAGTTATATAAATTAAAGGGACAACATGACGACCCGTTGCTCTGTATGGCCATGTTATACTGCCTCAGATCTAGCTTTGGCCCACAAAAAATTGAATATCAAGTACATGCAGTATAAAAAATATATCCGACAATGAAAACATTAACTTCCAGCATGCCCAGTTTTTTGGGCAAGTTTTTTTATCTTGCTTGCCCGGCATGATATTCACTTGCCCCGGGCAAGCGTTAAGTTACACCTCTGCAAAAGAAAATGTCTTTGAAGATCATTAAATGTCTCAAACATGTATTTTTAGGTCGTGCATGATCGCTTCTGCTGCAGGCATTGGTATTTGTCTGGCATCCATATATTTAATGGCCAGTGGTAACTTAAAGAAGAAGCAGTAATAAACTTTATTAAAGTAACAGTATTTCAGTTTAATGTAATTAAAAATGTGGTTGTGATGTAGTTTTGTAAATGAAGTAAGAGGCAGTGCATTGGAATGTTATACATTACTGCATTGTAGATTATTAAATAAAGAGAATGGCAATTTGTTGCCTATTGAGGAAAATGTATCGCTTTAGGACTGTGTATATTGTTTGTTTAGTAGCCATTTCTAAGTACACAGGCGTAAATATCTCACAACTTGTCAACAAGATGTGTTCGCAACAGGCTTGTAGCAAACTTGTCAGCTAGTTGTAACAATACTATTATTTTCAGTGTGACCAGATTTGGTAATTTTAATTACTTTTGGTAATATTTCACGATTTTTCTGAATTTTTTGGTAATTGAAAATTTATGGTAATTTTTTTAGTAATTTCTCTAAAAGTTAGTAATATTTTGGTTATTGCATGAAATTCAACCAAATACGCCATAATGACACAACCTGTTACTTAAAACTTCAATGAGAACAGTTGCAGATCCATGTCTGCAAAGCTGTAAATCCAAATTGCAGCTGCTGGCCCAAGCTGTCCAGCTGAATCGACCGAATCGTGCTGATCACCACTCACCCTGTGCTGATTGCGGGATAGGGACCCGGGACTGATCATCGCGGTGCAATATTTGCATTTTGCACAATTGCACTCAAAAAGTACAAATGAAAACAAAAAACATGGAAAAAAACATAGTTTCAGTGATGGAAAGCGTTTTTATTACTGATTTTTTTTTGCTAAGATGTTTTATTGATTTTCAGACCACTGTCAGTTGACAGCAGAAATTTAGTAATTTTTTCTACGTTTTGGTAATTTTTGCATGCTTATTTAGTAACTGCCTTGCAAAATATCTGGTCACACTGGTTATTTTATCAAGTTGCTACAAGGTTGTCAAGTGCTTACAACTTGTTAACAAATTGTTGAATTGCAGGACGATAACAAGTTGTTGCAACTAGTTCAGTGGTTGGAACAACTTGTAACTAAATCCTGTTGAGCTCAACAACATTGTAGCAAGCTGTCAACAAGCAGTGAGAACACATCCTGATGCAGGTTTGTCACAACTTGTGCGTTTTACGTGTGTAATCCTATAGCTATAGTGTCATATACAATTACTTTATGGTTTCCGTGTTTGGATGGCCTGATCCAAACACGCGGGAATGTTGCGAGAGTTAAGAAAAGCGCGCGAAACACGAGCCGAAGGCGAGTGATTTTGCACGCTTTTCTTAACTCGAGCAACATTCCCAAGTGTTTGGATCAGGCCATCCAATTAACACGGAAACCATAAAGTAATTGTTTTATAAAATAACAACAACACGATAGTCTTCCGTGTTTGGATGGCCTGATCCAAACACGGGTTTCGACCAATCAGAGCACGCGTTATATACATGTTATTTTATAAAATTATTTCCTTACTCGATAATGTGTTGGAAACAAAATTAAATTGTTGTTCCTATGCATGTTACGTCACAACCAGGATCTCGCAAATACAGTATCTTACTCAAACAACCAATAGTCGTTATGAGCTGCCTCCTGGCCAAGCGTTTTGGTTTGTTTCAGGCGATCAAACGAGCGCGGGACATGTTTAATCCATGCGGCCCCACGCAAAGACCACGCAAGCCATAGCGGCAACATAGCGCCTGACAGGGTTCGTAGCGGTCTTTGAAATCCTTAAAAGTCTTTAAATTTTAATGCACGTCTTTAAGGTCTTTGAAAAGTCTTTGAATTGTGTGAAAAAGCGAAGAAAGTCTTTAAATTCTTTAGTGAGTATTTGATTATACGATTCAGCTAATAAAATAGATTGATTGAAGCAAGATTTTCGCAAACATCGACGAAAAGGCGCATTTTAGGATGTGATTTGACGGGATTAATTACCGGGGTAAAAATGGTGCTTACACTCGTAATTTTTCTACAGCTGACTGCTCTCAGAGGTCTTTCAAAAGTCTGTCAAAATAGGCAGAAAATTTTTTTGAAAGTCTTTTGGTCTTGGAGACTACGAACCCTGCCTGGGTAAGAGGCAGATTATGAACCCCGAAATGAAGTTTGGTCACTATTTCAAATACAAATAATGGTGACTCTAAAACGTGCGCTAATCACACATATACCATTTTCCATCGTCACCGCATGCCATAGAGTATACACTAATAATTAATACACTACAGACACCTTTCATTCAAATAACTCTTTAATTAATAAGGGTTTATATTACATTCACGCAAGTTATGCATTTGGTTCTTTAAATGTTATAATCATATAATTACATTCGGATGACAAGCGTACTCTGTATACGATACATACTTAATAATAGTTACTTTTAAAGCCAGGAAATTACACACCAGGAAATTACACACCAGGAAATTACACACCAGCTGAGCATTCTTTCGTTACTCCCATTAATCTTCGTTAAAAAACCAATTTTGTAATCTTCCGTATAACGACGGCCTTGCAATCGGTGAACTCTCGGGCGTTAACATGTCACGGCGTTTCTTTTCTGTAAAACAATAAAACATGATATGATAACCCAAGTTTGATTTGCCCAATTGCCTTATTGGTACATTCTAAAAACATTCTTGGTAAACCTACACAAATAACAATAATCCTGGTTAAATTTCCTGGTTATTTTATACCCAGAAACTGGTTATATTTGACCAGGTCGTCCTTGTTAAAATAACCAGACTGTGCTAGGTGGATGTACTACAAGAGCCCCCGGCTATTTGACCACCAACGTAGTCTGGTTAATCAGGAAGTCCTGGTCAAGTTAATCACGAAATTTAACCAGGAATACTAAGTTAACCCAAATAGGGCTGTTTCTAGATTGACCAGAAAAATATTAACCAGAGTGTAGGGAACCCTCATCTATTAGACACCTTAAGATTGACGTTTACGGCAAACGTCAAACCGCTAGCGAGGTTTTTGATTTTACAACTCTATTATTATTGCTTTTACACCAGTTTTGAAATATGTTAAACTTATTAAACTTGGGCTCTTTAGCAATGATTTAAGAAAGCAAATTAACCACTAGTCATGCCATTCACCAAAGCAATAAATTAAGATTTGGCGTTTGAAGTTGACGTTTGGCG